GGGGGGATGCCACCATGCCCAGATCTGCCCACCTCATCCTCCTGAGTAGCTGAGATGACAGGTGGATGCCACCATGCCCAGTCCCCATCTAGAGATTTCTTACATTCCTTCTGAAGCTCCTTTTACACCCATCTGCCCCCTGCCCTCACCTCCTGCTGGCCACCTTCGGCTGACCTCCCCATGGTCCAGCGCCACAGTATCGAGTGGGCTGGCATTTCCCGTGGACTCCCGTGGGTCATCCTCACATCTGGATCACTCCCCACATTTCCCCTCTCGCTCACTTGCTCCCCAGCTTCCCTGCCTCTGCCGGTCTCAGCTGCGCATAATGGCTATTCGGAAGCTGGAAGCTGCGGTGCCAGTGAGGGCTGAGTGCTGAGCAGAGCGCTAGTGCGGGCCTCGAGGGCTGGCGGAGGGGAAGCGGGAAGCCAGAGCTGTGCTGCAATGAGATGCCGGGGAAGACACGCAGCAGATGCTGTTTCCTGACTCACCACCACATTCACAGGTGGGAGAGCAAGCCCCACTTCCAGCCCTTGGGTGCTTCCCACTGCCCCCTTGCCGCCTCCGCGTGGGTCAGAGCTGGAGTGGGCGGCACCTGTCCTGCCGGCCCGGGCTGCACGGCCTCCATGCGGCCTCACTCACACCGGGAAGCCTGTGACTCTCTCTCAGCCCCCTGGCTGCAGCATAAACAGGCTGGACTGTGTGACCTTCCCAGACAGGAAAACAGCGGCTGCAGGCAGCCCCTCCCCTGGCATTCTGGCCATAGAGCATGGTCACCGGACAGGAGTGCCCGGAGGGCCAAGGCCCTGGGACAGTGCGGACGGGGGAGCTTCTCTAAGATGCTGGACGTACGTGCCTTTTGGCCCAGGGCAGGCCATGGCATTGCAGGCAGGCAGAAACAAGGGGCCACGGTGGCACCCCAGGCCCTGACTTTCTACATCCACAGCCTCCCGAGTCCTCCCTGGCCTGCAGGAGGCTGGGGGGCTGAGCGGTGGGTGGGGGCTGGCATTCTGGCCCTTGGGTCCCTTCTAGAGGGAGCCTTGCCCTCAGGTGGCTGGGATACATACCCAGACTTCTGTACAACCTGCACAGGCCAGGATCCCGGAACAGGTGGACTCGGCCAGGCTGGGCTGTTTCCTACCCACAGCAACCGGGCACCTCCAAGCACACGCTGCCCAGAAGGTCCTTGTGCTCACCTTTCTGCTTCAGTGCTGAAGGGAGAGGAAGGGCATATGCTCCCCTCCCCCCGCCACCTCCCGTGCCTTCCCAGCCAGGTCCAGCCCTGCCAGTGCCACTGGCCTTTCTGTCCAGCCCTGAACGCGGTCACATGCTGCAGCGAATTCATGAGACAGAACCCTCAGATGGCAAATTCTCCCCAAACCAACGGCAAGCAGCTGACTGCCTAAGCTTCCCCAAGGCACGGGCCAGAAACAGAGGAAGGTGGGGAGGCAGAACAGGCACTGGGCACCGGCAAGTCTGGCTCCCCAGGCACCTAGACCCTCCAGAGCCGGCCGGGGGGCACTGCGGGACCCTCTCCTGGTTGCAGAAGCGGGATCTACTGAGCCGGGGCGCTAAACTCCTGTCCCTCTCTGGGGGCACCTGCCGCCCTGCCCTCCTCGCCAGGATCTGAAGAGGGACGTGCATCCTCTTCACTTCCCTCAGATCCCAACTCCCATGACATCATGTCTTCCTCAGGTTTAAAGTCAGACTTGAAGGAATGAAAAGGGAAAAGCCACAGAGAAATGTTTCATCAGGGAGCCTGGCAACATTTTGAAACCTCCTTTACTGTGTGGCTTCTGCTCAGAACTCCCCGTCCCACCCACGGGGACAGGGGTCAGCGTAATGGAGTGGAAATGGCAGGTTCACAATTTTGGCCGCAGCTGCTGCCATCTCTAAGCAACCCAGGCTCCGGGTTGGAGGGTGGCAACCCAAAGATGCGGCCTCAGCCGCCGGCCGTGTTTGTGCTGCAGCCGATGAAGCGAGCGCAAAGGGCCGTACGAACGTGAGGCGTTGAGCAAACATGGAGAGTGCCATCCAGATGTCCCGCGGGAGGCTGCGGCTCCACACCATGGGGACTGCTCTGCCCCCGTGGAGTGACCTGGCGTCCGCCCTCCACGGATGCTACGTGGTGGCCCAGGCCCTGTGCCGCAGGGCCCTGGGTGAGCCTGCACTGGCTACTGGGCAGCCTACGGACATGAGAGCCACCCTTGCCCCTCGAAGCCTCCACTTGGGAAGGAAAAGCCACCATGGGGGCCGACCTCTTGGGCCCTGGAAGGAGGGCTCGCGGCCGTCTCCTCCTGGACTACGAGGAAAAGGCGTGTGCCCACTTGGAGCCCCCTCTCCACCAGCGGGGGTAACAGCTCGCAGCCCCTGGTCATCGGTATTTAGACCAGAGCCCATGCAGCACAGAGCCCCCTGGGACCCAGGAAGTCCCCAAATTAAGGCTTCCATGGCAACGACATCCCCCTGATTCTTAGGTTATCACAGAGCTATTATCCACGGCCCCAACATGGTTGTTGAAGATTGGAGGTAGAAATTCCTTTTTTGTTGTTGTTGTTGAGACGGAGTCTCGCTCTGTCGCCCAGGCTGGAGTGCGGTGGCGTGATCTCGGCTCACTGCAAGCTCCACCTCCCGGATTCACGCCATTCTCCTGCCTCAGCCTCCTGAGCAGCTGGGACTACAGGCACCCGCCACCTCGCCCGGCTAATTTTTTTCTGCATTTTTAGTAGAGATGGGGTTTCACCAGGTTAACCAGTATGGTCTCGATCCCCTGACCTCATGATCCGCCCGCCCCGGCCTCCCAAAGTGCTGGGATTACAGGCTTGAGCCGCCGCGCCCAGCCGGAGTTAGAAATTCCTAAAGGCGGCCCTGGAGACTCCTTTGTCCCCAAAATTAGAACACGGGTAGGAGACACACACAGAAAGTGCCATTGTGCCCCGAGCTTGGCGTCTCCGGGAGCCGATGCCGACAGTTCTGCTTTCCAAAGGCCTGGGTTGTCTCGGAATGAGATTCCGCTCTGCTCAGCAGAAGCCCTGGTCAGCCCAAGGGTGTTGCTCAACTGTTCCGGCCTGTCCTCCCTGACCTCATTTCCCTCTCGGGGTCTGTTCTCAAGGAGTCGGCACTGGAGCCTTCATCAGAGGCCTCATGGGACAGGGGAATGCCCACGGAGCTCCCTCCAGCCCTGGGGGAGGGGGAAAGAGACGACTTAGAAGGAGGGCTGGCCCCGCAGCCAGAGGGTGTGGGTGTGAAGGGTGGGTGTCAGCACATGCCCTCAGATGAGGAACAGTGACGTAGCAGCTTCTTGGGGCCTCTAGACCGAGGGTTGGCAAACTTTTTCCATAAAGGGCCAGACAGTAGACTTTTTTTTTTTTTTTATCAGAGTCTCGCTCTGTTGCCCAGGCTGGAGTGCAGTGGCACAATCTCAGCTCCCTGCAACCTCCGCCTCCCGGGTTCAAGCGATGCTCCTGCCTCAGCCTCCTGAGTAGCTGGGACTACAGGCACCCGCCACCATGTCTGGCTAATTTTCGCATTTTTAGTCGAGATGAGGTTTCACCATGTTGGCCAGGCTGGTCTCAAACTCATGAGCTCAGGTGATCCACCCGCCTCAGCCTCCAAAAGTGCTGGGATTACAGGCGTGAGCTACTGTGCCTGGCCTTTACAAGCCATATGGTCTCTGTCACAACTGCGTAACTCTCCCGCTATAGCACAAAAGCAGCCACAGACAGGAGCAAACAGGCACAGCTCTGCCCCATGAAGCTTTGTTTACAAAAACAGGCGGTGGTCTGGGTTTGGCCTGGCAATGGTGGTTTGCTGACCCCTGCTCTAGATCAGAAAATGAAAACCCTGAAGTACAAACCAGTAGCCTCCCTTAGACAGACCTCTCATAGCCAAACACTTTAAATGGTGATCAGGTCACTCTCTTGCCTGGTCACTATCTAGCCTGTGTAGCTTTTTGTCTCCAGTGGGAGAGCGAAGAGTGAATAGAAACGCTCCTGCCACAGTGGTTTGTGTGGGTTTTTTTTTCTTTTTGAGATGGAATCTGACTCTGCCACCCAGGCTGGAGTGCAGTGGTGCGATCTCAGCTCACTGCAACCTCTGCCTCCCGGGTTCAAGCGATTCTCCCGCCTCAGCCTCCCGAGTAGCTGGAATTACAGGTGCCCGCCACCATCCCAGGCTAATTTTTGTATGTTTAGTACAGATGGGGTTTCACCATGTTGGCCAGGCGGGTCTTGAACTCCTGGCCTCAGGTGATCCACCTGCCTCGGCCTCCCAAAGTGCTGGGATTACAGGCGTGAGTCACTGCGCCTGGCCACTGCAATGGTTTTTAACCTTCACACAGACCTGCCAGAGGCCAGTGAAAGTAATGGACCCTCCCCTCCAGAATGACACAGCTGAGAGTGGCACCTACACACGATTTGTCGGCACGGAATTTCAAGGGTGTGCACGGCCCTCCTGAAACTTACTCAGGGACCATGTAGAGACCTGAAAACCCCGGGGTAAGATCTCTTGCTCACTCGGGAACAACACTAGTTTCTCTGTATTTGAAAGAGCTCTTACAAGTCACTAAATACTAATAATAATAAAATCAAGAGCACCGTAGAAAAATAGACAAATGACACAAAGAAGCAATTCACAGAAGAAATGCAAATGACCAATGAAGAGGAGAAAAGACGCTCTGTCTCACTAATAATGAAATACATTTTAAAAACGGTATATCATGTTTCATCGGATCAGAGTGGCTATGTTTGAAAGATGAATGACATGGCACTGGAAGGGACATGGAGGAAAAGGCACTCGTGTGCTCACTGGTGGGCTTGGGGTGGCAGGCAGGCTTTTTTTTTTTTGAGACGGAGTTTCACTCTTGTTGCCCAGGCTGGAGTGCAATGGCGCAATCTCGACTCGCTGCAACCTCTGCCTCCTGGGTACAAGCAACTCTCCTGCCTCAGCCTCCAGAGTAGCTGGGATTACAGGCACGTGCCACCACGCCTGGCTAATTTTTGTATTTTTAGTAGAGACAGGGTTTCGCCTTGTTGACCGGACTGGTCTCGAACTCCTGACCTCAGGTGATCCGCCTGCCTCAGCCTCCCAAAGTGCTGGGATTACAGGCGTGAGCCACCGCGCCCGGCCAGATGACCTTTTTAGAAGGCTATTTAACAGTACATATTAAATTTTAAAACATGCTAATCCTGTGGCCCAGCACTTCCACTGCCAGGAACTTATTTTACAGAAATACATGTACAGGGATGTTAACTTCAGCAGCATTCATAAATTGGAAAAATTGGAAACCAAGCCAAAAGTCCATTAGTAGGAAACTGATTGAATAAATGATGGTCCATCTATATTAAAGAATAATACAGAACTGCTTAATAATAAGGCAGATCTCTAAGTACTGACAGAAAATGATGTAAAAGATACATTAAGGGAGGTCGGGCGTGGTGGCTCACGCCTGTAATCCCAGCACTTTGGGAGGCCAAGGCGGGCAGATCACGAGGTCAGGAGATCGAGACCATCCTGGCTAACATGATGAAACCCTGTCTCTACAAAAAACACAAAAAATTAGCCGGACGTGGCAGCGGGCACCTGTGGTCCCAGCTGCTTGGGAGGCTGAGGCAGGAAAATGGCGTGAACCCGGGAGGCGGAGCTTGCAGTGAGCCGAGATTGCGCCACTGCACTCCAGCCTGGGTGACAGAGGGAGACTCCGTCTCAAAAAAAAAAAAAAAAGATACATTAGAGAAAAGGCAATTTCCACAGTTCTTTTTTTTTTTTTTTTAACAAAAAGATAGAATCAATGCTGGTTAATGCAGATCTTTTAAAATAATGAGAACAATTTTCAAACTAGACAGGGCTTATATAGATTTTTTTTTTTTTGAGGCGGAGGTCTCGCTCTTGTCACCCAGGCTGGAGTGCAGTGCGCGATCTCGGCTCCTGAGGCGTTGCCTTCCCAGGTTCTACGCCATTCTCCTGCTCAGCCTCCCAGTTAGCTGGGACTACAGGCGGCCGACCACCACACCCCGCTAGTTTTTTTGTATTTTTTAGGTAGGAGACGGGGTTTAACCATGTTAGCCAGGATGGTTCGATGTCTCCTGACGCTCGATATCCGCCGTCTCGGCCTCCAAAAGTTGCTGGGGTTACCAGGCTTTCGCCACCGCGCGGCCCTTTTTTTTTTTTTTTTAAGCGGAGTTTTGGTTTGTGTTCGCCAGGCTGTGGGGTGCATTGCCGCGGGTCTCAGCTCACCGCAACCTCCACCGGTCAGGTTAAGGCGATTCTCTGCCTCAGTCGCTCGCCCTTTTGTTGACTCTTCTTTCTTTTTCAACCCCACCTTCATTCGGCCTCCCCCACATAAGAGCAGCACACATTTTGGTGATTTCCTGGAGGCTTCAACAAAGGGGGTGCTCAGTACCCGGAGACGAACATCTCCAGGCGACTGTCTGTTGCCTGGGCAGCGAGAAAACAAGGAGGAGGAGAAGCCAGGTGTTCCTGCGTTGTTCACATTGGCTCTGGGCCAAAGGCAAAAGTCTTGGGGCAGTTCCACGGAGGAGGCTGGCGTTAGTGCTGCACGAGCCGCAAGCTCCCAGAGACCCTTGGATGACAGCTGCCGAAGGGAAATAGAAAAAAAAGTGGCGCGGACAGCGCTGCGGTGGCTCAGCCTGTAATTCCCAGCACTTTGGGAGACCGAGACGGCGCGGATCACAAGGTCAGGAGATCGAGGACATCCTGAGCATACGACGGTGAACGCCGTCTCTACTAAAAGATACAAAAAAATTAGCCGGGCGGTGTTGCAGGCGCCCATAGGTCCCAGGTGACTCGGGAGGCTGACCGGCAGGTGACGAATCGCCCTTGAACGCGTGCGAGGGGGAGAGGTTGGCAGTGAGCCGGAGATCGCGCCACTTTGCACTCCAGCCTGGGCAAGCAGAGGCAAAGACTTCGTCTCAGAAAAAAGAACAAAAAGCAGAGGATTGTGAGAGCCAGCGCCTGCTTGCTTGTTGGGGACCTAGCCTTAGGAGCCCCTGCCAGGTGCTGGCTGCCAGACAGCCTCATCCCATAGCCCCCTTTGACTAGTTTGGGACACCCAGTGCACACGTGTGCAGGCACGTCCGATGGAAGGCAAGACCAACAGAAGACCAGTCAAGCAGCCTCGAAACTTTAGGAAGCGGGAGATTACTGAATGCAGACTTTAAAAAGTGCCGTACTCACTGTTAATGAGTGAATGTCATTACACATCCCACCAAAGCCATTACTAACAGCATGATGCCAGAGAGCTGTAAAACGGAAACTCTGCGCCAGTGAAGAACCCCAGCGACCCGGTGAAGCTCCGAGACGGCCAGAGTCCTGGCCCGGTGCAGGCTCCAGTAAATCCAGTAAGAATGCAGGCCGGAGGTATAGTACCTGACATTGGGGAGTGGATATGACCCATGTTCCATCACCCCTCCTTAGCTCTATTCTTTTTCTTTTTTTCTTTTTTATTGAGGGACGAGTTTTGCGTCTTGTCTCGCCCAGACTGTGGAGTGCAGTGGCACTCATTTGGCTCACTGCAAACTCTCTGACTCCCGTTGGTTTCAATGTGATTCTCCTTGGCTCAGTTCCTCCAAGTTAAGCTGGTGGTTTTTATTACAGGCATGCGTCACCTACTGCCCGGCTAATTTTTTTGTATTGTCATTGTCATGTTGGCCAGGCTGGTTCGAACTCCTGGCCTCAGGTGATCTCCCTGTCTTAGCCTCCCAAAGTGCTAAGATTACAGGCGTGAGCCAGCGCGCCCGGCCTCCTCTTGCCTATTTCACAGAGCTTGGGCTCTTGCAAAAGGTGCACACCTATCTTCTTTTCTCCAATTAATAGTAGCAGTGTCCAGGCAGTGACTCACGCCTAGAAATCCAACACTTTGGGAGGCTGAAGCAGGAGAATTGCTTGAGCCCAGGGGTTCAAGAACAGCCGGGAGGCCGGGCACAGTGGCTCATGCCTGTAATCCCAGCACTTTGGGAGGCCAAGGCAGGCGCATCACCTGAGGTCAGGAGTTGGAGACCAGCCTGACCAACATAGAGAAACCCCATCTCTACTAAAAATACAAAATTAGCTGGGCGTGGTGGCGCATGCCTGTAATCCCAGCTACTCCAGAGGCTGAGGCAGGAGAATGGCTTGAACCTGGGAGGCGGAGGTTGCTGTGAGCCGAGATGGTGCCATTGCACTCCAGCCTGGGAAACAAGAGCAAAACTCGCTTCAAAAAAAAAAAAAGAACAGCCCAGGCAACAAAGTGAGACCTCGCCTCTAAAAAAATAAAAAAATAAAAATTAGCCAGGTGTGGGTGTGCGTGCCTGCAGTCCCAGCTACTCTGGAGGCTGAAGTGGGACGATCAGTTGAGCCCGGGAGGTCCAGGGTGCAGTAAGCTGTGACTGCACCACTGCACTCCAGCCTGGGTGACAGAGAGAGACTCTGTCTCTAAAACAAAACAAAACAACAACAACAACAACAAAAACAAACATTAGCAGCAAGCAGGAGGCCTAAAGAAGCTACTTCACCAAAATCAAAAGTATAGGTTCCTGAAAATCAGTAGATGAGCCTGGCTAAGATTTTGGTGAAACTCAAGTCCTTTTTCGGTGTTTGCGCTATAAGTCCTTAAAACAGGCCGGGCGCGGTGGCTCAAGCCTGTAATCCCAGCACTTTGGGAGGCCGAGACGGGCGGATCACGAGGTCAGGAGATCGAGACCATCCTGGCT